TAGACCCATTACCGGACCAGTTGGGCACCAGCCTTTTTACGGAATACACGCATACCGTGAAGCCCAGGTTCATAATTCGGTCCGCCCACAGGGCTCGATTCAGCAGCCAAATATTGGGGTTTACACTTCCGAGGGGATTCAGATGATACAGCCAAAAGTTGCGGTTACCGACGGTGGCTACGCACAGGTTGCGTATGACAACACCGGAAGACACGTTTACTTTACCACAGCGCCGCCGTATCAGACCATGGCACCGGTGGGGGTAGACGGGAGACCTGGTGGTGGCACCTTTAATCCGGAGGGTAATGTGATTAACACTTCAAAAACCTCTGGTTTGTGATTACAAAAACGTGCATATGTTTCGATAAATCATTTTTCCATTGTTCATTATTATAATAACGGAGTTGTGGGTTCATATAGGTGTTGATGAATTTTGTATCGTCATTGTTTGATGTCTATATTTGAAGAAAAATGAAGGGATTTGTTTGTTTAGAATGGGAAATTGACGGTTTCTCTGATCGGTTTGTCCCTAATTTTGACGCACCTTTTCGAGTTCTTTAGTAGCCATTGCTTGGCAAACCTAACAAAGCACACTTTTATTCTTGCTGTTTAGTTCGTTTCTTTCCCACTTTCTGAATGTGCCATTTTTCTGGTCTTTTCACCAACCCCAAATGAAATATGACATTGACAAACAGTGCCATCCTACTTCCCTCATTGGCTCACCACATTCAATTTGAATTATTTGACATATTATTAAGTGATATGTTATATTATTATATTAATGTCATGCCATTCTTAAGATTTTCGAATTACTGTAGTACCAGAAAATTTTGCCTCCTTGTAAGTGGCCATAGCCTCCCCATTGGCTGGCCCCTTTTTACCTCATTGGATGAAACATCAGAAATTTCAACCGTTTGATCTTTTAATTCCTAACCATTCTGCGTTTGTTTAAATTGATAAAATGTATTTGAGAAGTTTTGCAGAGAAATGAACAGGGATCATCGCAGTTATTAACACAAACTGGGACGACTTGGAGCACGTGAAAGGACAACTTGCTGTTGTTCTATTCAGAATTCATCACCTCTTTAGGTATTACTTTAAATATTTTAATGAAGATTTGATGATTGAATAGGATTGAATTCAGATGACATGTCAGCGTTTAATTTCTAATAATAGAATAGAATCATATGTAAACTACTTGTTTTTGTCCAGTGGGAATTCTGTTGAGAGTCCAGACCTGTAGATTTGATTAAAAACAGAATTTGTAATTTTTGTAATGCATAAAGAATAGGAAAAAGGATTAAAAAGAAGAAGAAGATTTCTATTTACACAATTGGTTAGTGGGTTGATTTGTTTGTTCAAATAGCAATCATTTTTCCAGTACACCCACTGCTTTTAAACCTATGTCAGAATTGGTCTATTAATCAATTACTTGTTTGATTAATTCATTCCACAAGACCAAACCACTTCTGGCCAATCTCAAATTTTATATTTTTAATTTAGATGTTTTGCCCACAGATTTGTTTTGTGCAATTTATAATAGTAAACTGAACCTGCATTTTGTACGTATGTGTATTTTTAAACCAAACATGAATTCATCAATCTAACTTAGAAAAATTAATTAAGCTTCAAACTTGAGAAAAGCTTGATTGATTAAAACATTTATCTTCGACCTAAAGAATGTGAGTTTCCTCCTTTGTTAAGTCATCTACCTCCAATTAGAAAGTCGTGAGTTGATACTAAAAAACACCTAAAAATTGGGGCTAAAAATACTGAATTGTCCTAACCTTTTGTTAATTTCAATTTGGCCCTAATCTTCTCATTTCACAATTTATTCAAAATTTTAAATTAAGTCGTATATTAATTTTGTTTTTTTTTTAATTGGCTTAAAAGGAGTTGATGTGTCATTAAATTATTGTCTTATTCAAAGTATTTGAAAAGGTTGGTATTGGTATTCCACTTGAATTAAGGACCCAATTAATAGAAAAACAATTTATTATTATTCTTTTGTTTACAATTCTTTTCAAAGAGGAGCCTAATTGATATATAAGGTGAAGTTGAGAACTTTTAAAGGTTGATGATCAAATTAAGAATCAACTAAAAAATTAAGGACAACTTATGAATATTTAGCAAAAAATTAAACTTATAAGTTGATCTAAAATAAGTCTTAATTTTTTTCTTTATTATGCTTAATAATAACAACAACAACTATTAAATAAAATGGTCATGTCAAACCTGGTGTCTTGGTTCTGTTCGGAGCATGTGATTGGATAAGAATTTTAATTTGATTTTTGAAGCTTCCTCTTGCTTTATTTCTGGATATTTCACATTGCCTTGTTGGATAAAATACATATATATTTATTACTTATTTCTTAACAAAAAATCAAAATCTTGTAAAAACCAAATCATATTGGATATGGAAGAAGGGACGCCTCTTAATTTTTCATTTTATATACCAATCGTAAGACATATAATTAAAACTTTAAAAATATAGCAAGATCTACATTTTGCAATGTACATCATTTTCATAAATAATAATTAATAGATTCTACTTTAATGCCTAAACTTCTGTAAAAATTTGTTTGATTCTTTATCATTAATATTTTGCATAACACTTGGACAAAAATCTTAGGCTGCTTCTCGTTTTTAAACTCTGATCAAACTTGATGTATAATATTTAAAAGACTAGTTAAATGCACTGTACAAAATTTATTAATTCTTAAAATAGAAATTAAAAATTTAAATTAAATAAGTGTGTAAAAGTTTTAGGATGAAAATGAGATTTGAATCGAATTTAAATTTTGATGGAAAAATGAAAATTAATGAATAAAACAAATTATGTCACGTAAATATGTCTTAAAGGAAAAAAGATGGTTGATAAGTGATGTATCCTTAATCTTTCAAATAGCGTATAATTCTCTCACACTCATAGAAATCTTCAAAGTAAACATTATTTTGTTTCAGTTTTCAAGCCTGTGGGCTGTATTTGTTTCCTAAAGAAAGAAATAAGAAAAAAGCTCTTTTAATGAAGCTATATCCTTATACTTTGAATTAAATTCATTATTCATTTTTGGTACATTATAAACAAATATCTAATGTATTAAATTACTTTTGTAGCGACTATATTAAAATTCTTTGTCCATTTAGTTCTAACACCTATTCTGTTTTCTAGGAAAGTATAAGATAACTTTAATGTGGTATTGATGAACTTGTACCTTCGAGTGTTGGCGCAGTGGCAAGAGGCTTGAGTCTTGATACTCAAGATTCAGATTCCAACCCTCATGTATTCAGAAGTCAAAAAAAAAATTAGTTGAATTGTTACGTATTAAAGTTGAGACAATTTGAGATACAAAACTAAATCAATATAAACTAAATTCGAAGAAAATAGAGAATATGGCATCTTCATCAGTGGAGAGACATCATCATATAGAGAGATGGAAGAAATGGAAGTGGAAAAGTGGGGCATTCTAATTCTATTATGGCTTTGTAGCTTTGTTCTCAAAAGAAAATTAGGTTTTGAATGCCAACCCAGGAGACCATTTGAATATACTTTTCCTTTTGTCCACAAATCATGGGATTGGATGTCACTTGAGTGCTCATTTTGATTTCTCATTTATTTTCTAAATAAAAACCACTTTTTTTTTCCTTTCATGTGACGCTATTTGATATGCCAACATTCACCAACATTATTTATGTCATGACATAAAGTCACGTCGTCTATTCGAATGAAACGTCGAGCACTATATCACTCTTTTATTAACTTACTAGAATGTATATCATCATCTTAGAAAAATGATGCGTTCAATTATACAACTCATTGAAAAATACATTAGATTAAATGAAACACTTACTGTCTTTTTCAGCATAAATAAAACAAATTGTTGATGCATAAATTTGGTCTCCTAGATTCCGCCAAATTCGCATCAATCTTCAATAATGAAAGGGATCGACGAGACCTGCAAAATAGAATAGTACTAAAGACCGGTGTGGTTCTTGCCACACAGGCTCCGATGCTCAAGTCAGAATCAGAGTAGTTGAGTATAAAGTGTAGGGTGTTGTGAGCTACGGTTTGGCTTACTTCAATAGAAGTTGAATCGAAGAGAATCTTGAGGCAATCAGAATATCTKCTCGACTATAACGGATATTTTCTCCTTTTAATATAGGTTGAACTATATCTTCTTTTTGAATTCCTTAAATAAGGAGAATTCGAATGGTAGAAAATTAAAATATGAATTTTCTAATCCATAACACAAATAATAGCATAGAAAACTAAACCGCAGTAGATAACTTCCATCTCACTTCAGTAATCTTTTCTGAAACTTCTTCAAGCCAGAATGGCAGAATCTCTCATTGCCCAAACTAGCCGCCAACTATGTCATTGCATGAGCTAATTGGTTGTTCTATCTTCTGCACCAGTTGAAGTTAAAAATGCGTTTTTGTTCGTTATACTTTACCTTTTTTTTTTTGGTAATAATTTAATATTTTACCTTCATTTTTTCTAGTTATTGGAATCCAATATCTCGTATAACTTATTTACGTGTTCCTTTTTGCTATCGCATATTCGATCTATTCTTTTTATATTCTATCAATGTTATTTTTGCATGTTTATTTAATTATTTGATTTCTTAGCGATATACTATACCAGTAGAATTAAATGGTATGTAATTGATTATATAAATATAACTTTAATTTTCTATCATTGTTCTTTTGCATATTAATTTACTATTTAGTATATGACTAATATACCAAGTCAATTGAATGAAAACTTATGTAACTTTAATTTTCTATCAAAATGTTGTATTGGCATAATTATTTAATATTTTGTCTATCACTTATACACCATATGAATATAATAAAAATGGTATAATAATGATTACTTCTTTTTCTATTGGTACTTTTTTGTATGCTTATTTCATATTTGGTATCTTTGATTTATCACTGATATACAATATAAATAAAACTAAAATAGTCGATGACTATACAACTTTCGTTTTCGTTTGATATCAGTTTCATATTTAGTTGTTGAAATATTACTTCCCCTAATTGATATACTATATAGTAATTATGAAAATAGTTATCACCCATAGATTTCAGCAAGGGTTTAAAAACAAGCAATATATTAGTAATATACCTGGTGGAAAGAAAATTAGTATCTAGCACACAAAAAAATTTAGAAAAAGAATGGTGAAATTTACAAATTTTTTTTATTACCCGAAGCCATCCAAATGGAAGAAAAATATCCCTTTCGTTTTCTCTAAATTCCCGGAATCGTGCAAAAGAAAATTTTCCTTGGAATAGGAATAATTATCCTATTTAATTAAAATTAGATTTCCCCTAAAGTCATCCATTTCCTCTGTCTAAAGTTGCAGTTTCCACATTCAAAGACTGCTTTAGAAGCTCAAATAAGAATCAAATTCCTTTCAGGAACAAGGCAAAAAAGTGAAGCAAATCCCAAATCACCTGCCTCGACCAGTCCGTTCTATGTATTTTCCATGTTTGAAAGCGAAAAAGCTTCTTGGCGACGGCTTTTCTGATTATCCCACAGCTTCTGCAAGAGACGGAGTGCAAATGCTGAGATCGAGTTCGAGTTCTCGAGATTAGATTTCAGCTGCCGGAGCGGAGGAGATTGACGGCGGAGATGGTGGTTCGAAAAGTCGGCAAGTACGAGGTAGGGAGGACGATTGGAGAAGGTACTTTTGCGAAGGTAAAGTTCGCTCAAAACACTGAGACTGGCGAGAGTGTTGCTATGAAAGTCCTCGATCGGAGCACCATAATCAAGCACAAGATGGTCGACCAGGTCTGCGTCTTCTTTCTAATCTTTCTGCTGAGAATTGGAACTGTTTTCATCATTAGAAGATAATTCACCTTCGTAATTGGCTTTGTGTGACTGCATACATCAATTCCGCGCCGTAAAATGTTATCGATTCAGTCACTCTCTCAGCTACTGCAGCTGTCAATTGAAGCTGAGCTATTGAAATTAAGTGTGTATGAAGTTAAAATGTCTCGAAGTTAGCTATCAAAACTATATTGGCCGTGATTACATGCTTCAATGATGTCGATTGCTCCCTGATATCACGCTCCAGCTATATACTTCTATCCTTTTGGTGAATTAGATGGTATTTAGTATCCTAATAAATGTAAATAGTAATAATTGACCTAAAGGATCCTGATGAGCTTCATTTGTAATCATCCTTGGGCTTCTCCAACGGCAGTCAATTGGTGAAGCTTAATTGAAGCGTGAAATCCTTGTTTCTTCCTCACCTACCCACTTTCACTCAATAAAATGAAGAAGAAAAAGAACTTAGTGGTGGCTTGATCTTCGAATGAAGGAAATGGTGCCTACTTTTTACTGTTGAATAAAGCTGCAAATATTGTGGATGATGGAGAATCTTAGTGTAATTGATACGAAGTTTATCTATCTGTAGCTTCTGCATCTTTTGCTGTTTTGAATAGTGCGAAGAATTGATTGGTAGTGAAGCAGTTGTAAGGAATACATTAAACTATACAATCTTTGAAAGACAAAGTAACAAGCAGGTCTTTTCATGAATCCGTGGTTGAGCCAGATATTTTATATCATAAGCTTCTTCAGTGTTCACTTTTCAAGTTGTCATACCAATGTTCTTCATACTTCTCTTTTGCAAACTCGATCCTCAGTCTTCTACTTATTAACTTTTTAGTTCTAATAATCTAATTATAGAATGTTCTGATAGGGATGCAGTCTGAAGCCTTTTCAATATCATTTCAAGCGTTTCTTTCAATAACTGTTACTCATATTCTGCAGATAAAAAAGGAGATTTCTATCATGAAGCTTGTGAGGCACCCTTATGTCGTTCGTCTTCATGAGGCATGGACTGATTTTCTGAAGTATTTATTCTCAGTTATTATTTTTTAGCCGCTTCCCTAGAGTATGGGTTTGGACTTTATATTTCTTGTTTAACACTCGGCATGATATCGGTTTTTAGGTTCTTGCAAGCCGTACTAAGATTTATATAATCTTGGAGTACATTACTGGTGGTGAATTGTTTGACAAAATAGTGAGTAATTTTAACAAAGAGCTTCATTCAAGAAAGATTAGCCATTTGAAAATTTGAAACTATTCATTATTTTGTAGTCCTATTGTTCATGATCTAATCCGTATTCTTCAGGTTCATCATGGACGGCTTAGTGAAGCTGAATCTAGGAAATACTTCCAACAGCTAATTGATGGTGTAGATTATTGCCATATCAAGGGAGTATACCACAGAGATTTAAAGGTATAGCTATTTTTATTAGCTGAGATCATGGAGTAAATATTCTTACTGAGATTTGGAAGAGAAAAGAAACAAGAGTCTCATCATTTACTTTCTTTCTTTAAGCAGCCTGAAAATCTGCTACTTGACTCCCAAGGTAACTTAAAGATTTCAGACTTTGGCCTGAGTGCAATGCCGGAACAAGTAAGTCATATTTGAATGGTTCTTATTTACTTAGATATAGACTTCTTGTGTAATTTTAGGACATAAAACAGATAGTTGATTGTGTTTGCTGACAGGGAGGTAGCCTACTCCGCACAACATGTGGGACTCCAAATTATGTAGCACCAGAGGTATTTATCTTGGTATCTAAAAGCTTGTTAAACCAAAATTTATACAAATTGGTGATGACATTTATAAGCTTGCGTTTTCGTTTGATTCTCAATCACTTCATTTCTCCCATAGGTGCTCAATCACAAGGGTTATGATGGTGCTATGGCAGATGTTTGGTCCTGTGGAGTAATCCTGTACGTGTTGATGGCAGGATATCTTCCATTTGATGAGCTTGATCTCACCACGTTATATAGTAAGGCATGAACATTTTTGTCATGTTATCTTAAATCTACTCCACCTTTCTATGTTGCATTTTCCTAACTAATCTAATCAACCTTACAAATGTCGAGGTGTTATCAACGTCTATCTTGGGTGCAAAATGCAATCGAGGGTATGGCATGATGTGTTATTTCCTGTGAAAAAATGTTTAAATTTCCCGTTTAGATTGAGTAGTGAAAGCAGTTAAATTATAGAATAATCAATTTGCCTTGTCTATTTTGGTCGGGTTTAGATCAGGATGTGAGGGCCTTTCATTCTTTATTTTTAATATTTTGATCTTAATCCTTCGAAATTTCTCTACTTTGTTCTTTGGTCTAACTTGAAATGATATTCATTTCAAAATGCACTTTTATGATCGATCAACATTGTCATTTGCTTTTCTACAGATTGAGAGAGCCGACTTTTCATGTCCATCTTGGTTCCCTGTGGGGGCAAAAGCCTTGATTCATAGAATATTCGATCCCAATCCTTCAACTGTAAGTATGGATTTCCCGATAAAATGTGCTCTATGCATACGCACTTGAACATTCTCAATGCCTTCGACTGTTTAAGTACGAGAAAAATAGAAACGGTTCATGGTATTTGCTGTGCACTTCAGCTACTTAATTAAAAAAATGTCTACAATGGGAATGCAAAGCACACATTTCTTTATCCAGTATTTGAGTGGTGGAACAAATTTTCAGAGAGCTCAATGTTTTTGTTACATTCTGTTTGGAAGGAAATAGATGTAGCAGACATTGTGAATATTTAGTTCTATTAATGGGCTTGCAAATTTCAACACTGCAACATTTCAATTTCCTCTACTTTCATACCACATTGTTACTCAAGGAAGCCAATCGATTAGTAACTCATGATACCACTGTTCTCTTTAATAGCTCAAGGAACCATGTTTGGAGTGTTGATTTAAGCACTGCTTTTTTGTTATTGGCCTCGTGAACTGAGGGCAGGAACATTACAGTAGAGCTCTAAGTTTCTTCATTCTTCACAACTTTATACGTACCAGAGATATTGATGCTATCAATCTCATTATTTTGGTATTAGTATTTTCTGATGAGTTGTTCTCTTTTCTTTTCTGTGCAGCGGATTACCATTGAAAAGATCAGAGAGGAGGAGTGGTTCAAGAAAAATTATGCTCCAGTCAAACTTGTCGAATATGAAGATGTAAATCTGGATGATGTAAATGCTGTCTTTGATGATCCTGAGGTTGGTAAGGATTTGAGTATTACATTGGCATTCGTGTGATTTAGAAGTTTTTGAACTCTGGGCATGGTAGATTTTCAAGGTTAGCTAGGTCTTGTTTTGTAACTATTTCGTTTTTAGCTTTCTATTTTTAAAAATTATATTTGTTTACTCACGATTTCTTTGATATTTTTTAACATTTCTAGAAACACATTTCAACTCTTGGCAAAATTTCAAAAACAAAAACAAGTTTTTAGAAGCTACTTTTTTTAGTTTTCAAAATTTAGCTTATATTTTGAGAATATTTTTAAAAAGTAGATGCATAACAAAGAAATGCATAGGTGAATGTAATGTTTACGAGCTTAGTTTCCAAAAAAAAAAAAAATACAAAAGGGTTATTATACGGGACCTTTTTTTTTAAGTACAAAACGGGGCGTTATTGATTCTATCATGATTTGATCTCATTTGTTTGCAACCTTTCATCTATACCATAGTTATTTTATTACCTTAGTTCCTTTCCCATAGTCATTAATTACTTACGAATAAATCCATAACAAAAATAACGAATCTTATGTTGGGTTAATTGTTTCCAGTCAACCTGTTGTGTACCAGCATAGTCTCCACTGTTATGTGACTTTTGTCTTCGTTTGAATGTTTTTCTATGATCCTTTTAATTTTCTTTTGCCAATGCCATAGCGCTCAAAGTTCTAACTTTTAGTCTCTAAGGATAAATATTTATTTGAAAATACTAGAAGCTGTAGAACTTTGGTTGAAAGTGGTGGCGATTTTTTTCCTCAATTGCTGTAGTTATTATCAACTAATTCTCCTGACTTTCTCACAAAATTTGTCCATAGGAAGAAAGGACTGAAGATCGACATGGTATCAAGGACATGAGCCCTCTGACCCTTAATGCATTTGATTTAATAATTCTGTCTCAAGGCTTAAACCTGGGGACGATGTTCGACCGTGGCCAGGTGTGGTTGTTATATGCTTTAATCCTTACCTTAGATTAACAACATCATGCTCTGATCATTTGAAAATATGTTCAGTCAAAATAGCTCGGTCAGAGTATTTTGCTTGAGAATTGAAGGTTGAATTCCTTTTGATCACAATAGGATTCTATGAAGTACCCGACACGCTTCATCTGCCAAAAGCCTGCCAATGTTTTATTATCAACCATGGAAGTTGTAGCTCAATCAATGGGTTTCAAAACACACATCCGGAATTACAAGGTAAAACATTTTGGAAATTCTCATCTAAAATCTTGTCCTTCAACTTCATGTTCAGCCCTATCCATCTGGATTAGACATGGAATAAGCCAGGCCGAGGCAGGCCCCTCCTGTATTCTAATCTGAACTAAGTTTCTGGTGAATGTCAGATGAGAGTAGAAGGCCCATCAGCAAGCAAAACTTCTTATTTCTCAGTCATTATGGAAGTAAGTTTCAGGCTTTTCTGCACCTAAAAGTTCTAGAATTTCCATTTTTGCGTCTAGAACCTTGATCTGAAACATTTTTGCTGTAGATTTTTGAAGTCGCTCCGACATTCTTCATGGTGGACATTCAGAAAGCAGCTGGGGAAACCAGCGAGTACCTCAAGGTAAGTCCTATTAGAATTTCCACTTTCCTTCTCATTCCCACCATTATCTCATCGACTGTTCAATATTAAGACATTGTCGTTGCCTGTCACAGTTCTACAAGATCTTTTATGGCAATCTCGAAGATATCATCTGGAAACCTTCAATCGACCCCGGAAAATCAAGGACCTCGAAGAACAAGAGTAAGAAACGTTGATTTTGTATGCATCAACAGCATTATCTAACCAGATGAAGACCAAAGCAGTATGCTGTTGGGATATGTTTACAGTTCTTTAGTAAAGAGAGTAACAAATCCTAGGAAATTTGTATGAGAGTATATGTATATACCATCACCAAGATTTTACTAAAATCTTCTTGCAAATTAGCTGACCTATGCCTTGCCATTATTTCGCTATATAGAGTAGGAACAATGGTGGCGAGGGCGACATTAAATTGTCTTGTATTTCTCTGAAGCTCAATATAGGCTGGTTATTCTCCCGACCTTACTTACAGAAAAATTAGCTTCATATGAATATTTTGACAGTTCAATGTTTTACTAGGTTTGAAAAGATTGAAATCTCACCCTGCTCATCGAGCACGTTAAATAAGATCTCCGAAACCTCCACAAGAACAGCATCCATTCAAAAACTTGTGGAGCTGCTTGCTGTCTCGGATGACGATTTCCCTACCTTTCAATAATGAAATGAATCTGATAAAATTATGGCAATCCCTGCACATTGTGATGCTCTTGACAACCCGAATGGGGGTGGCGGTTGGCAGGTTTAACAAACCAAAAGCAACAGCTAACTTTTCGCTGTGATAAATGGTCGAGGAGAATACCTTTTCCTCGTCTTCCTCTTCAATTACCTCCATATATTCCACAGGCTCGTAACCGAGGTTTTTTACTTCATCGAGTACATTCTCCAAGAGATTGTACATCTCTGCACTTTGAGAATGTGATTTATCATTGGGTTTAAATGAATAAACTTTTTCTTTGATGCTAATCCAGCTCCAATCCTTCAACTTTCCAAGCTTCTCTTCTTTCATTAATTTCCTTACCTTGGAAACGTCCTTCCATCTCCCTTCAGAGAGGTACATATTTAGCAGGGAGACGTAGATCTCCGTGTCTTTCGGCCTGAGTTTGAGTAATTGCTCGGCTGCGTAAAACCCCAACTCCGAGTTCCCATGACTTCGACACCCTGCAATTAACATAGACCATATAATCTCATTAGGCTCAAAACTCATCTTCTTGACTACATCAAAAGCTTCTTCCACCCGACCCAACCTCAGATACATATCCATCAGGCATGCAAAATGGTCCATTACAGGCTTAATGTTGTATTGCTTCAGCATTACTTCAAAGTAATACAGTGCTTCGTCCACCAAGCCAGCATGGCTACAAGCCGATAGAACGCCTACAAATGTGACCTGGTTCGGTCTAACTCCTGCCAACCTCATGTCTTCAAAGAGCTGAAGGGCTTGTTGAGACAGACCGTGGCGTGCAAATCCCGTAATCATCGACGTCCACGATATCAAAGTTCTCAAAGGCATCTCCAAGAAAGCTTTACTCGCCTTATCAATGCTTCCACATTTGTTGTACATACTGACCAGTGAAGTTCCCACAACAACATCTGCCAAAACACCACTTTTGATGATCTGAGCATGAATCTGTTCCCCTTGTTCTAAGGCTACTAGACTGCTACAAACACTTAAAACACTGGAGAAAGTGAACAGATCGGGTTTCATGCCCGAGCGATATAATTTCTGGAACATTTCAAGTGCTGTAGATCCACTCTTGTGAGCGGCAAGATCATCTGCAGCAAGATCCATCATCTTCGCATGGCCTGCAATCATTGCATTCCATGTAATCAAATTGAGGGTCTCCATACCTTCAAACAATTTCTGAGCCTCAATAAGCCATCCACATTTCAGGTACAAGTACATGACAGAATTTTTTACAGGTATGCTTGATCCATAACCAAGCTTAATGCTTAGTGAATGAATCTGTGCTCCTAGAGCCAATGCCAGCATCACACAACAAGCGCTCAAGGCACTGGTCAGAGTGTACTCGTTCGGCTCCACACCCTCCTCGAGCATCTCGGTGAAGAAACTTAAACTCTGTGCTGCTTGACCATTATCGCCACAGGCAGATACAACTGAAGTCCATGAAATGACATTCTTTTCCTCAATTTTCTGGAAGGCTCTTATGGCAAAATCCAAGCTCCCAAACTTAGAGTAGAAGCTAGAAAGAGAGTTGCCGATACTAGTATCAAAATCTATATGATATTTGATGATATAACCATGAACTTGCTTCCCCAATTCGATAGACTGTAAGGAAGAACAAGCATTTAACACTATACCCAGTGTATAATTTGTAGGATAAGCCCCAGCTTGCAACATTTCGATGAATACTCGAAGAGCGGCCACAGGCTGTGAATTCTGAACATAACCGGTCACCAGAGTTGTCCATGCAACAACATTTCTCCTAGGCAAATTGTCAAACACTTTCCGGGCATGTTCCATGACTCCACATTTCGCATAAACATTAACAAGAAACGTGGTTACAAATAAATCTTCATGAGTTCCAGTTTTAATGATATGTCCATGAATAACTTCCGCTTCGGCAGCTAAATTGCTAACTATGCATTCTTGCAACAGAGGAATATAGTAAGAAGTTTCGATCCTCGTACCCTCTTTTAGCAGAGACAGAGCTTCTCGCAAGTCTACAAACCTCGGCTCCGCATCAACATTCAATCGGATTAGAGACTGATTCTTCTGATACGGCACGCTACCACTCTGCAGCACCATAGAATCAGTAAATCGACAGATCAAGAAGACGAAGCAGGTTTAGTTCATACTGTACATGCTAAGTTACGAACAAATCGTAATTAACACAGTTTCACACTCCAACCGATCTAGTTCACGAACAAAAAAGCAGGTCGGTAAATTCATTTCATTGCACAGATTTCATAATAAATTTCGTAATGGATCAAGATTGCGTAGAAGGATAGGCAGAAGAGTACCTTATCGGCGACAAGAAAGCTGGAGGAATGGCGGTTTCGTAAGTCGGGTTCGAGCTTGAGAGTGGCAGCAATGGCAGGAGAAGGCAAGGAAGCCGCCATGGAAGGAAGAAGGAGAAGGAATTTACATTACGGTGGTGGTGGAAGAGATTGGGGAAAGCACTTTATCCGCATACGCAACAATTGTGGAGGGAACAACGCCTTTCTTACTTCGCGTTATGGTAACCATATTTTACTTCAACTGCTCCCAATATCGTTGTCAATTTTTGTTTTCAGTGAATAAATATTTTGTTTTTATAATTTATGTCAATTTCTTTTTGCTCACAGAAAAACTTTTCCCCAGTAAATAAACAATAGAAATGTAGAAATAAATATATTTATTTTATTATTTAAAAAAAACTGTTAAATTTTCGGAAAAGGCAAGATAGCATTTAAATAACTTTTTTATTCTCCAACTAACTCCATATATTATGCTTAAAAGGAATTTACAACTGACGGATGTTTAACTTTATTGTCAATTTTATCTTAAAAAATAATAAAAAATAAAAACTTAAAACATCGTCCTCAATTTAATTTTTAAACTTTCAAATATTATGTTTTAATATTTCAACTTTGCATGATTTTATTTCCGTCAAGAAAACCTGAGATGTAAATAAATGACTATATAAATGGATTTAGATTCTTATATTTTTATAATTTAAAGTTTAGAAATGACTAGAATATTAGAGATAAAGGTTCTTTTTGAGTTCAATAATGTAGAGGGTTCTGAGTTCAAGAATGTAGAGGTGAAAATTTGAATATTTTACTAGGATGGGACAAATGGTCAAAATTGATAGAATCTCTCGAGATAGAATCATGATAAGATTTGAGAGAGAGGTATGATCTTGTATTACACTTGTGAAGGAGAAATATTATGTTTACAACAAGATTGGGGATTATGGTTCAAAGTGGATAGCCTATAAATCAAATTTTGCAAAGATCAAAATAATATTGTCAAGATTATATATATATAATTGGAAGTCCCAAAAATCTGCTCACAAGGGACATTTATTTAGTGGAAACGAGTAAACTTTCTGCTGAAGGCTCCGAGTTCAGCGACTTTGATAAGAAGGATATCAGCAGAAGCAGAATTATGAATGCTGCATAATAAAATATCAAACACCAATTAAGGAGATGCTGGACATGGTAAACCCCGTAATATGTGGTTTATTATTATTGCTAAATTACTTTTCTATAGCTACTTCTGTAAGAATTTTCGAATTAAAATGCACTTTACGTGTTCTTCAATATTTTTATATATTTTTCTATATATGTCTGAGCTAGCTTATGCACACCATAACTAATTTCACGGGACACCCCAAAATGGAGTCTGGCTAGTGGACCAAGAGGCTAAATGGTATTTTGTAAATAGGACAAATACACGCACCGTAGAAGGTAAATGGTGTCTTTTTATCATTTTATCTAAAGACGGTTTGGAAGAGATTTGAGAGCTCTCTAATTCTCCCTTGGCCCTTTAATGCCTTCTAAATATCATTCTTATCACTATGCAACTAAGCACATTATTGACGGTATTCATTCAACAAGTTGAGAATGTTAGAGATTTACTAACCCCACTCAGCTGCCAATCCTTGCCTTGCACCTTAAGAATCCTTTCTTCAGTTTCTGTATCGCATTGTCTCTTTCTCAAAACCAATTGTTGGAAATTGCTTGGCATACTCTTCAACCTGATGTCGGAGCTTTGAAATTTCAGATTGAAAGTCTTTATTTGATTGCATGGTTGCCACGAAATCCTTCAACTTAGTACCTGCATTTACAATATTTAAACACAGATGAGTACATCAAAGGATTCTAAAAGGCAGTAGTCCGATAAATGGGCAATACGAGAGAGAGATCTGGATATTTCAATGCAGATAAATATTATGCTCGAGAACCTTGGCTATCAGCCTTAATCTTCAAAGCTAACTTCACAGCTTCATCAAAGAATTCGGCTACTTTCGCAAAATCTGCCTCAAGGAACCCTCTCGAAGTCAGAGCAGGCGTCCCTATATATACGAGAAGTCCAGAGAACAAATCTTCTACAAGTTTAGATATTTGAGCAGTAAGTTTGAAGATCAAAGGCAAAATGTTGGAAGGTCATACCCATACGGATGCCACCAGGAACCATGGCAGACACGTCCCCTGGAACTGTGTTCTTGTTAGCCGCAATATGAACTGATTCCAAAACCTTCTCAACTCTCGAGCCATCAATACCCTGCGAATGATAACAAATAAAATATTAAGAAAAGGGTTGTTCACCAATGCTACCGGTCATTTCTAAATATTGGTCCAAATCAATCAAAAAGGATAACCTTTACACTCCCCTTGTTATAACAGAAACATAGATGAAAGTTCATTTTAGGGAACCTATATTATCATAAGTTTCAAAAATAAGTTGGGAAGATTTTTATGGTTAGTTAAACTGTCTTTACATTTGTATTCGTCAGCACCCAGCACTACATAAATACAAACACCTGATGACAGGAGAAACAACTCTCCAACTGGATGAGAAGTATAATAGTTATAATGGTCAACAGAAGTGTCACCTTTACCTTATTTTTTAAATTCACAAGGACTAAATGGTTGTCAGTTCCAGCAGATACAAGTTCATAGCCCTTCTCAATCAAACTCTGCATAAACAATTGGTTTAACAGTGTAAACTACAATGACTTACGCAAAGAAAAAAGTTCAAGAACTAACTACTCTACATAGTGAGAAAAATATGTAATTGAAGAGTATTATACTGATGATTTGTCATAGAAGTTGCAGAGAAACATCTTCTGTATACCTGAGCAAATCTTGAACAATTGCTGAGAACCTGCTCTTGGTAGGCTTTGTATTCCGGAGTAGTGGCCTATTGCAATATGGTAAAATAACAGAAATAACATGAATGAAGACAAGGAGAAACTTCAAGTAGCTAAATCTAGCATCTGAAGTAAAATTTCATCAGTATAAACCCAAATTTACTTTTGTTATCGAGAAAGAGAATTAATAAAAAATAAACAACCTGCTTTAGTGCAACTGCCAGACCAGCTATAGTGTGGTTGTGTGGGCCACCTTGAAGACCGGGAAAGACAGCCTGATTAATTTTGTCTTCATAGTCATAGAGCACCTGTGTGTAATAAAAATTAGACAACTGAGAACTTGCCCTTAGAAACTTATATTTGCTTCTAGGTGTCGTAGGAACCTTCCCTTGCAAGTAGTATTCTTTCCTACATTTTTAAGACCTCACTTACTTCCTGTCCTTTTTTGTTGATCTCTTTAACACCCTTCCGGAAGAAAATCATAGCCCCTCGTGGTCCACGTAAGGACTTATGTGTGGTTGTTGTCACAATATCAGCATATTCAAAAGGAGATGGAATAACACCTGCTGCAACTAAACCGCTAATGTGTGCCATGTCGGCCAACATGATTGCCTTCTGTTTGTCGCAGACCTGTCAAAATAATCATAGTCAAATCATGTGTTAAATGATATTAGAAGTGTAAAAACCTGAAGAGGGCTACTCTAAAGTCAAGCAAAGGAATAACCTTGCGAATTCGTGCATAGTCATAGAGACGGGCATAGGCACTTGCACCAGCAACAATGAGTTTTGGTCGGAACAATGCCGCATTTCTCTCCAACTGTTAGAATTTACCTCCATATAAGTTTGTTTATTTGGAATTGCAGTTTCAAGAAAAATCAACGGGATATCCCTATACAGTCCCAACTCACAAGCATTTTTGCTAACCTGGTCATAGTCAATGTAACCAGTGCTCTCATCCAACCTATATGGCATTGTCTCAAAGAATATTGAAACAGCAGAAATCTTCTTCGTATCAGTCTGCAAAAGTTCAAAGAAACATACGTAGGCAAGTATCATGTCAAACATCATAAAAAGTTCATATTACCAACAAAATCACCAAAAGCAGCAATGTGAAAACCAAGTACTAAATTTGAAAATTAAACACCTGATAACCATGCGAAAGATGTCCACCATGTGGTAAATCAAGAGCCATAATCCTCTCATGAGGTTTTAATAATGCAGTATAAGCCTGAAAGTTAGCCGGGGATCCAGAGAGAGACTGCACGTTAACTACAAAAAGTAGCATGCTGAGTTTAATCAAGATTGTGCTCTGGCATTCACATAGACCAAATTGAATGGTCTTGGAGATGGTAAAATATAAAGGACAAGCCAACCTAAACAACAACACTCTTATGGTTCGCACTATAGCAAAGCTCACCAATATGTCTTCCCTCCCAGGCTGTGTCCAAAAAAAAGGGAGGTGCAGTTGATTTTCTGATTTATATATGCAACAGTCATCCTTTTAAGAAAAAATCCTCTATTGTTGTAACATAATGTGGTTGGGTCTTCGCTTTGCGAAGTTTGGTTAGAAAGAAATAGAATACTTTTCATGGGAAGAAAATTGTTAGGAGGTTATCTGGGAGACTATGTTTTTTCCCTTCCCCGTGCAAACTATAACAAACCTCAAAACACAAGAACAACATTAGTAAAGTTTTGCAATCAACTCCATCTGGGCCGTTCACTCTGTCATTAATTATACCAATAAATGGCACCATATTGAGAACAACCGGTTGATGATAAATACATTTGCTGACTAAATTTTGAAAATATTTGCAATATATAGCTTAATTTGCAAGAAACTGCGGGAAAGAAACAGTAAACCACTAAATATGTAAATAGGCCGTCTGACCCAATTTTTATCGCTGGAAATTAATAATTATCAATAGTTCTCCTACCTCCCCATTTTGCAGGATCCAAAGAGAAAGCTTCTAATGCACGTTTCTGGCATAAGGATTCTGCCATGTCAATGTACCTAAATCCATTTGGCGTTTATGTTAGGAATCCAGAATGAAAATGAAAAGGAAAAAAGACAGAAGTGGAGGGAAAGAAAAACAACAATTATGTGCCAAAAAAAAAAAAATCAGTGTCCTCGCTGCAAGTTGCCAAGTTCTAAAACTTGCAATGATTTTGTTGACATTAAAAAAAAATCGTGATGGTCTATCATAAAACTATACTATGTTCTTATTTTGTTTTTGCAAACCTGAAATTCCATCCTATAAATTCAAAATCCGTCAACCTTATCAGAGAAGTAGTCATTGCATCCCGAATATTAAGAAAGAAATCCATCTTTGATACTTCTTATCCAAAATGCAATACTTTATGCAATAAGGCAAGAAAAAATTTGTATTCTGGAAATGATCTAGAATCACATACTCATTTCCTCCATAGTATCTGGCACCTGGATATCCTTCACTGTATTTGTTGGTCATAACTGAACCAACTGCTTCCATCACTGATGATGAGGTGAAATTCTCAGAAGGTATGAGTTCAAGACCCTTCAAATTCACAAAACAATCGTACATGATTTTGATGTTAATCGCAAAACTCAACTCAATTCAATGGATATCAACACCATCAACGTCTACTTGAAGTCTTTAAAAAATGAAGAAGCGATTAAATCAACGTAAAATTTTCACAAGTACAAAGACCCTGAAAACAGCTCGCAGTAAAATATATATATATATATATACCTTCCATTGACGAGCTTTCTCGAGCTCAATGATGTCTGCAATTTCCGGATCAATGACCTCGAGGGGGGCGTTCAGCTGCTTAATCCACTGAAACCAAAATTTCCTCCAAACATCAATATCAATACAAGAAAACCGACATATAAAACAGATCTCGTACACCCCAGTATCCACATACATGCCTTTGTCCTTATTCACATTACAAGTATCAGAAGCAAATGTAAAACAAGAATCATAAAAATGGAACGCTCACAGTAGCTCGAGCCTTCTCGCGGTCCTCCGTAGCCGCCCCGGACAGAGAAGACTGCCGCCACAGACAACGAATTCACATACAAAAAGAATATCAAAATCCGGCATCGGAACAGTTACGAAAAATGACAAATGCAAAACATAGATATCATGAAATAACAATGACGGCAAAAGAAAAAACCATGTGATGGAGGAACCGGCCATTGACGAGAGGATCAGTAGGTTTCCTAACTGCGACGAGGAGCCTTCGAAGAGCCATAGGTAGAGGTTTCCACCGGCGGTTCGTGTCTCCTCCGATATGGAAATCCGCGAGAAAGATTCGGCGCCCTTTTCGATTTGGTGCTCTTTCTGTTGTCACCACTGGGCAGTGGGGTTTCAAGGTTGGTGATGAAAGCGTAATACTCTGTCTGGTGCTTCAACTTTTTTTTCATTTTTCCTTTTTGAAAATTATTTTGTCGAAAAATGTTTTTTCTTTTAACCGATCATATATATTAAAATTTCACGGAAATTTGTTAAATGGTTGATAAAATCCAATCTTTCACCGGGTGTAATTTTTTTTAGAACAAATAAGATTGGAAATCGAACTTAGAGTCTCTTGATCTGACATATGCTAAATTATGTTCATTTTGATCATAAAAATATAATTTATACTTGAAAGATGAAACGGACCGCAAATAATTTGATGCATAAGATGGTTAGAAGAACGTGTTATTTGAAAGGAAATAAAATTTAGTTGAACTATTTCACTTTTTTTCTTTTTGCTATTTTGTTCTTTAATTTTTATACTTGTTTTATTTGTTTTTGTACATTGCATAAAAAAATTTATCTTCGCTATTGTAATTAGAGTTTCCCATTGAATTTTAAGGAAAAATGTTTGCTTATAACTTCGTAGTTCATCAAAGAAAAAGGGTCGTACTCCAAGAAGAGAAAAAGTTGTTTGTCTTTAATAGGCCACGCAAGGAAATGGCACAAGAATTAAGAATTTTGGTGATTCAATGTCCAATCTTTGATTTTTTTTTTTTTTTAATTTGGTACTTGAGCTTGTTAAAAATCTTTAATTTAATGTATTTGACAATTTTCACTTAGTTCTTTGTCTAAAAAAAAGTTTATTAACGTAGTATCAAATGTATGATTAGATTATTATTTTATAGACAACAGATGTCACTTGAAAAAAATAAATGTTATTGATCCTTAGGTTAAATTTTACCAATAAATTAGTTTGATTTCACATATGAGATAATATTCAAGCAACATAAATTTAATGATATTAATAAAACAATAATTTAATGATTTATCAGCTTTTTGTTAATAATTTTTAACAATTTGTTTATTGAATGAGGTACTTTATAATTTTTAATATATGAAGGATAAATTTGACAATTTTAAAAGTTTGAAGATGAATTTGAGAATTAACTAAAATAATAAGGATGATTTGGATATTTAGCCAACTTTAATCTACTTCTATGCACTACAACCACCCCACATTTGTAAATTTTCGTTGAAGGTTTGAATTATGTTGTTTTACATTGCAGTGTTGCATTCAAAAATATTTTTAGAAATTATTTTTTTTTTAACTTGGGTGGGTAAAATAATGAATTGGTCTGCCTGACTTTATAGTTGTCTAAAAAATACTCTTGAAGTATGGTAAATCTGTGCTTAACTCAGTATTAATTTACGTCAATTTTTAATCAAGAGGTGATGAGTTGGAATCTCCCACTCTAATTTGTTGTACTAAGAAAAATTTCATAAACATGGAATGCTGTAACATTAACAATTTGATAGGATAATTTTTTACGACTCCTTCAATATTATGTAATCATCAATTATCTTTTAACAATTTGCAATCATCACTTGATTAAAAAAATTGATAAAATTACATTATTGAGTAGTTTGAGTTAAGAGTCTTGCCTCTGGACTCATACCTTATATTAATATATTAGAGTCAGTTTAATCAAATTAAAATAATTCCAAATAGGTTTAACAAATTTGATTAAACTATAATTTAAGTTCTCACGCTGTAACCGACTTTAATTTAAAGTTTTTAGAAAATTCATACTCGTCATTATATTTTGATTAAAACTCACCAATCAATTTTTTCATTAATAAAAAGTTACATAAATTCAATATGGCAGGTTATAACAGATGAGTTATGTGATACGAAATTTTTAAAAGAGAGTTTATGGCAAAATTGAGTAGACAATGGAGAAGTAGTGAAATTAAGACGTTAATTGCCCCACCACTTATTATAGATTTTGCTAGATCAACCTTCCGTTTCAAATATTAATGAAGGTTAAAAATATATTTTTGAAACGTTTATAAAATGTCAAGGATGGTATTTGAAATATTTGATAGGACAAAAGTAAACAAAGTTTAGGGGTGTTTTTGTAATTTAGTAAAAGAAAAAAAAAAGGAAAGTTCAACCACTCATGAGGTTGAAGCCCACTACATTTGATTGGGCCACTAAGCCTTCCGTTGGGTTTGCTTTTGGTCTGAGTTTGAGTTTCTCGCCTTCAGCAGTCCGCCCGCGCCTCCTTCCCCAGCCAGCAACTGGATAAGCAAAAACGCCGCCTCAGCGCTCCCCCACTCCGCTTCCTCTTAGCCCCCATTTTTCCTTCTTCCATTTTCCACTCTCTGTAAGTTTCCTCTCTCCAAACTCCTCCTTCCCTTTTCCAAACAGCATTCTCTGCAATCCCATCGACCTCCACTCCTTTTCTTCACTCTTAATCCAAATGGGGTTCTGAGCATCATCCTCTTCTTCCCTTCCAGTTGAAGGATTATGGATGTAACGTTACCAGCAAAGCATTATACAGATGGGTTCTGTTTGTTTCAGCGTCAGAGCACAAGAAATCGCGGCCGTAAAGTGAGGGCCGGAGGGAGGGTTACTTCGGAGGCCAATTCTTTAAGGCTTTATGTCGGAGGAAAGGGGAAAGCTCGGTTTCTCGTTGTTCCTCCTTCTGATTGTTCTGTCTATGGAGAAAAATCCCATGATTTGATTAGTAAACAGCTGAGCATTGTTCGTGCGATTTCGAGGGTCGATACGTTTAGTTCCAATGGTAGATTGCAGCACGGGGAGAAGAATCTCCATGGCCATTTGAATGGCTCCAATTCGTCGTCGTCTGCTTCGAATCACTCGCAAAGTTTCGAGGAATTCGAGAACAACAATCATCTTCGTCGACTGGTAAGAAATGGGGAATTGGAAGAAGGGTTTAAATTTGTCGAGAATATGGTTTGCCACGGAGATATTCCTGATATAATTGCCTGCACTAGTTTGATTCGCGGTTTGTGTAAAACGGGGAAGACTAGGAAGGCAACTCGGGTTATGGAAATTTTGGAAGATTCGGGGGCTGTTCCTGATGTGATAACTTACAATGTTCTGATTAGTGGTTACTGTAAATCTGGTGAAATTGGGAGTGCTTTACAACTTTTGGATCGAATGAGTGTTTCTCCTGATGTTGTTACATACAATACAATCTTGCGAACTCTGTGTGACAGTGGAAAGTTGAAGCAGGCCATGGAAGTTCTTGATAGACAGTTGCAGAGGGAGTGTTATCCTGATGTAATAACCTACACTATATTGATTGAAGCAACTTGTAAGGAAAGTGGTGTTGGGCAGGCAATGAAATTGTTGGATGAAATGAAGAACAAAGGATGTAAGCCTGATGTTGTCACTTTCAATGTTCTTATCAATGGGATTTGCAAGGAAGGAAGGTTGGATGAAGCTATTAAGTTCTTGAACAACATGCCTTCCTATGGCTGCCAACCGAATGTGATCACTCATAATATAATTTTGCGTAGCATGTGTAGTACAGGGAGGTGGATGGATGCCGAGAAGCTGTTGGCCGAAATGGTTCGGAAGGGATGTTCTCCTAGTGTTGTCACTTTCAATATCTTGATTAATTTCTTGTGTCGAAAGGGCTTGCTTGGTCGAGCTATCGACGTTTTGGAGAAGATGCCTCAGCATGGCTGTACTCCAAATTCCTTGAGCTACAACCCATTGCTTCATGGATTCTGCAAAGAGAAAAAGATGGACCGTGCAATCGAGTATTTGGATATCATGGTTTCAAGAGGCTGTTACCCTGATATAGTGACCTATAACACTCTATTGACAGCATTGTGCAAAGATGGGAAGGTAGATGTTGCAGTTGAGATACTGAATCAACTCAGTGCCAAAGGTTGCTCTCCTGTATTGATCACATACAACACAGTCATTGATGGGCTTTCAAAGGTGGGAAAAACAGAAGATGCCATAAAACTCCTAGATGAGATGAAGGGAAAAGGCCTCAAACCGGATATAATTACGTACTCGTCACTCGTCAGAGGACTGAGCAGGGAAGGAAAAGTCGACGAAGCGATTGCATTTTTTCACGACTTGGAAGAAATGGGTGTAAGGCCTAATGCCATCACGTACAACTCTATCATGTTAGGACTCTGTAAGGTTCGACAAACCAGTCGAGCCATCGACTTCTTGGCATACATGGTTGCCAGAGGGTGTAAACCGACCGAGGCTTCGTACATGATTCTGATTGAAGGATTGGCGTATGAAGGTTTGGCCAAGGAGGCATTGGAGTTGCTCAATGAATTGTGCTCTCGAGGAGTTGTGAAGAAGAGTTCTGCGGAGCAGGTGGTGGTCAAAAACTCTTTTTGATGTATTTTCTTTCTGTTACTTAAGCCGTTTAATGGCCTTGAATTTCATCATCGAATCTTCATAGATATGTTATGTTATTCATGTTTGTCAAAATGGGTAGAATCCAAATCAATTTTGTAAGATAAAAATGCTCAACTTGAGTAGTTTCGAAGTGTATACTCTGTTCAGATATGATAAAGCCATATTCGTGTGCTGATGAGCTGAAAGCCTGAAACTGACCTGCCCGACGCACAAAATTGAATCGACCAACAGTTTGAAAAATGTCAAAATTGGTTTCAAATAAAGTTTGCGTTTCTTATTTTTCTTTTCTCAATTTTTGAGAAACATAAGATTTTGGTAATTAATCCTGTCTCTCGTTTTTTATTTTCAAAATTTTATAAAAGCAAGTTCTTTGATTTTTTTTTTGTGCTCGTGTTTAATTTTTAAAAATATTATTTTTATCAACTTATTAAATGCGTAAAATATTTTTAAAAATAAATATAATATAAAAATGTTGACTAATTAATTTGAAAAGTTAAATTCCATATAAAAAACTTTTTTTTTTAATTTAAAATTTTAGAAAAAGAGAGGCAATGAATGATAACCAACATTTGTTTTCTCAATTAAAAAAAAGGGAAAAAAAAAAGTCAACAATTATTTTCATCTTATTTAAAAAAGGGAAACTTAAACAAAAACATTACAAGAAGGCTTAAATTTTAAATTTAATATTATTTAATTCTATTTCTAATGGGTTTAAAGTCTTTAAATATTCATTATTTGAACTTATTGGAAAATTTAAAATTTAGAAAACATTTATATTTTATAATGAGTATTTTAGGCTCAAACAAGGGTCCATAGCTCAGTGGTAGAGCATTTGACTGCAGATCAAGAGGTCACCGGTTCGAACCCGGTTGGGCCCTTTTTTTCTCTTTTTTTTTTCGTTAAAAACTTACTAAACATAAGTTTTAAATGTTCAAAATTAAACTAGTAATTTAACCAATCATTCTTTCGTTAAAAACTTACTAAACATAAGTTTTAAATGTTCAAAATTAAACTGGTAATTTAACCAATCATTCTTTTGGTCCGAGTTCGATGCATATATATTGAGCAAGAATGAATGACATCCTTCCATCCGTATATACTGAGTAGAGTGTGGATATGATGCGAACTTCATATTAAAAGAAAAAAAGCAAATGAAGCTAAAATGTAATTTCGTACTGATTCTTTTTAAGAAAAAGAAAAAAGAAGAAGAAACCCCACCTCGATCAAAGAAAAGAAAGAAGAAAGACCCACCAATTATGTAACTTCCAAATTCAAGATCAAGGTCAGTCTGAGTACAAGTACAAGACATCATTCACAGACTAATGACGTTTAATTTCCAGATTCACACATTTAAAATAGCATAAGCAGCAAATGACATTTGAAGCCCACCTCCTCCCCTCCTCCTTCACAAGCACAGGACAGGTCGAGCTTTACGGTGCCCGCCCTTCTACGACTCGTCTAACTGATCCTGTAAGGAGTTCATATATTACAAATGTTATGGCCTCATAATAAATGGGAATGTGGTATCTTATGAGAAGGGAATGGAGGGTCACTGACCTGCGCATCTGAAGTCCAGAGAGTGAGGTTGTCCCTCAACAGTTGCATGATAAGGGTACTGTCCTTGTATGATTCTTCACCCAAAGTGTCGAGTTCAGCAATCGCTTCCTCAAATGCCTGATCCAAAGTATAAGAATTGGTGAGTAACACACTACTCAAGAACTACGGGAAAACATGATCCTTAAACACTACTGAAATTAGGCGGCTAACTTTAAGATAGTGCCGAATGCAAGCAATGATGCACTTGAGCTAAAAGGAAAGAACAGAAAATAAACCAAAAGTGATTTCAAGAAAATGTAACATGGCAACAAGTTTTGATCAGGCCAGTAAGATTAATTAAGTAGCAGATATATTGCAGACAGTTGCAGGTATATGATTGAGAATTCTTTCAAAGGGAGATGGATCATAAATATCCAATCATCTTAATCACAGTAGTTCACCAACAACTATGATACATTTTCACATAAAAAGAAAAATGAAAAACCATAATGGTTTGAGGAAACTAACATTGGTATAAATGATATTATGGAATGTGTTCTTATGTATTGTTATACGCCCTTGTGTATTCTTTCATTTTTTTCACAATGAAAGCTTGGTTTCTTATTAAAAAAAGAAAGAAATAAATGAAGATATTATGGAATTCTTGAGAGCTGGAACCAAGAGCAAAAGAAGGAAATGCAAAGATGTAAACTATTTGAATAGTCAGTCAAACAAGATGCTCGCTAAACAAACATGTCTCGTGTCCATAGCAATCCTACAGTTGTAAGATCAATTAATGTAAAAAGGTTTCATACGTGAAGCTGGCGGCCACATCCGCATATTAGTGATGCTATGGAACATACGATTATCATAAAATTCAAGTTTTTAGGAGGAAGATCATATGCCATCACATTAAGCAAGTAACACGAAGACAATAGTCTGACAAAGTCGCCAGAGTAACAGTACTAGCTGATGCAATTTCGTAGGAACAATTGAGAATCCAGAAAGAATACAATAATACAAAGCTCTGAGAAAGGAGACTCCAGTGATAAAAACAAAAGGGTGACAGCAATAGCCCACGCTTCTTCTCAGTGATAGGAAAAAAAGGGATAAATAATGTACAGAGGGAAATGAACCAGAACTAGGCGACTGAGAACGAAAATAAAGGATCAAATTTACCTCCTTCGCCATGCTACATGCTTTATCGGACTGATTCAGAATCTCGAAGTAAAACACAGAGAAATTGAGTGCCAGCCCCAGCCGTATTGGATGAGTAGGTGCAAGATCCGCAACAGCGACATCCTTCGTAGCATAAGAGTCAACAAATTCAAAATCAGAATTCAGAATATCCCATCTCACAAGCACCCACATAGTAGAATTGAAAAATCCAATCTCTATTCATTCGATTTATTATAAAAAGAAACCATTAAAGAGGTACGATATAGAAATGATCGGTTGAAGATCGGGGATCTTCCCGGAGAAAAGATGAGAAAAACAGAGTAAGAAAGATAAACTATCTTTGAATTTGAAACCGATCAGAACTAATTAAATCAAGATTTCATTTCCGTAGGAAAGAAGGTAGTAGAACACGGGAACATAGCAACAGTAAAAGATGGATCACATAATTGTGGATGTTCGGCGGCGGTACTATATCCAGTGTTCAAAGTCAATTCACAAGTCAAATGTCTAGCCTCACATGTCCATAAAAGCAACGCCATTCCAAAATTATCTCAACGATACCAAAAAGAAAGCCACAAATACCTGAGCAGCCCTATAAGCCAGCATAGTATCCTCAGCAGCGGCTTTCCTCTCGTCGCCGACCTTGAACTCCGCTAAATACCTATGGTAATCCCCCTTCATCTTCAAGTAGAAGACCTTAGACTCACTGGCAGAGGCCGAGGGAATAAGATTCGAGTCCAAAAGCTTCAAAATACTCGCACAGACCTCGGAAAGCTCGGATTCAACCTTTGATCTGTAATCCTTAACAAGAATGACATGATCTTCATTCTTACGGCTCTCCTCCTTCTGCTCGATGGAAGAGACAATACGCCAAGCGGCTCGAAGTGAGCCAATCACGTTCTTGTAAGCGACAGAGAGAAGATTGCGCTCCTCAACCGATAGCTCGGAGCCAGGGGTTGAACCAAGAACAAGTTTCTGCATGAACTGAACCATCTCCTCATATCTCTCGGCCTGCTCGGCAAGCTTCGCCATGTAAACATTTTCCTCACGAAGCGAGGGGGCGGCAGCCATTGGAGAATAGATCTGAGGTTTGGTGATCTGGGATCAAGTGTGAAAGGGGAAATGGGAAGGAGAGGAGAGGAAGACGGAGAGTGGAAGAGGTGGGCTTATGAGGGCCGGATGCGAACCCTTTTTCGGGAGTAGTGGACCGATAATTGCGGTTCAGATGGAGAGAGATTTGAGGGATGCAACCTCAGCCGTTGGATCCCACAATTCTGTCTGTATATATAATAAATAAATTCAAATATTATTTTAAAAGAAAAAAGAAAAAACCGTTTTTGTTTTTGGCAGCTGGCAAGGGATTTTTTTTATTTTATTTATTTAATTTGTATGACTAAAAAAAGAAGCGTTCTTCTTGAATTAAAGGGCCAAGCAAGGGCAGGAAAGGGAGGGCATTCTCTGTTGACTCGACCCAACTCTTTACCTTTTTTTTTTTTTTTCCTTTTTCTTTAAGAATTATTTTTATATTTATTTTTAGTTCTAAAATTTAAATGGTAGCTCATCCAACAGTTGGGATTCCTCCAATTGCATGCTGTTTCTTTAGTTTAGGTCAAATTGCTAATAAATTGAGTTTGTTTGGTTCATGTGTTAGACTTTTTTTTTGTTTTTTAGTTCTAACAAATGGAGGGCGGAGAATACACCATCGCCTACTCAAATTGACATGTATTGGACATTAAACAAAGTTATGTAGGCCTATGGGATATATGAGTTTAAATCTCCTATGTCAATAGGAGTAAATACCCATCATCACTCAATTATGTTCATGTTGACTTTTGTAATGTGTATTAATATATACAAATCATAATATTTCAAAAAATATATATATATCATAAACTCGCTTTATTAAAAAAAAATCATGAAACAAATTCAAATTTCTATAATATTTTCATTCCTGTGATATCCAAACATATATTATATAGTCATGTAGCTTTCCAACTTCGTTCTTTGGTCTAATAAAAATTGCGGGCCAAAGCAGACATATGACATATACCTCAAACCCATAGGTTGTGAGTTCAAATCCCCTTCTCAATATGTTGTACTAAAAAAATAATAAATAAAAAATAAAAATTGTGGGCAAAATTTTCCAAGTAATAAGTGACAAATTGGATGATTTGAAGTTAATTTGTTGGTGTATGATTTTCAAAACATAGTGATTTTTTTAGTACAACTTATTGGGGAGGGAATTCGATCTTTCAACCACTTGATTGGAAGTATATGTCAATTAAAGCTGAATTATGCTCGCATTGACTTCAAAACATAGTGATTAGTTAATTAGAATACTTCTTAAATGATGCAATTATAAAAGTAGTGTGAAACAACAGGGCATATATATCATTCCACTTATATTAATTGTTAATTAGTCATTTTTTTTAGTACAACAATTTGAAGTCATGGGAGATCGAACTTCCAACTATGAAGGAAGAAGTACATAAATACATGTCAATTAACGTTGAACTATNTCGGCAAGCTTCGCGAGGTACACATACTGCTCCCGAGAAAGATTGTCCGGCACGGCGACGGCCATTGTAGAACTCCGGCGAACGGAAGAGAATGATAGAGACAGAGAGACAGAGAGACAGAGGGCTTTGCGTTTTCTATATCGCCGTTTGGTAAAGATGCACGGGCCGGCGGCCTTAAAACCCAAAATATAAAAAAGCAAAGGCTGAGAGAAAAAATGAATAAAATTAAAATTAAAAAAGGGAGCCGTGCTAGCCTGCGGCGGATGTAGAATAGTGACGAAACGGGAGCCGTTGGATAAAAGCGGGTGACGATGACATCGAGGTGATTGAGGAGGATTGCCAGCTATGCAAATGCAAGGAAAGAGAAAGCTAACACATCTTTTTCTATTTTTAATAATTTCAATCATGTTGTAAGGTAGCGTTTCAATTAATTTCTAATTATTAATACGTCCACAGGAGGAAAAGGAAGGATACCCCCCACGACACTGCCACGTCATTTATTTTTATAAATACATTAAAATTATCATCTTCGTATACATTATTTTAAAAATACACAAAAATTAGCTTTAAATAAATCAAGTTACTCGCTTATTAGCTGTTTTAAAATGAAGCCTGGGGAGAGATTTTGATCAAGTATAAATTGACATTCGGATAATATTATTTTTAAGTGAGAGATTCTTTTTATTTATTTTTAAAATAAAACATGAATTAAATGATGTTTTTAATAGTACTTCTAAACATTTTTTAACATTTTTCTTAATAATAAATATTTGAATTAGTTAACAACACTTTTCACGTAGTCTAAAAATATGTTTAAATTTAAAAGATGGCAAAGAGATGAACTTTCCTAAAGTAAGCTTTGAAATTTTCCATACAAAAAACTATGTTAGGATTAACATAGACTAATAAAAATGTTTGTTTATTCTCATTTGCATGGGAAAATAACTAAAATTGAATACGAAAAGTATGAAAATGCACACACCTAACGAGTCATCTAATTAAAGAATTTAGTTATCTGTCACTTTTTAATTAAATTTAAATCACTTTTTTATGTGTCAACTCAAAATTATGATTCTTAAATATAAAAGACAACATTCATACATATTAAGTCCAATTTTTTTTCTTCTAAATATTCGTGAATGTCCAAACCAACTTATCTCGACTAATCTTGTGAGGCAACCGTCTGCCCCTACAACATTTAGTACCAAAAAACACATAGGAAATTCCTATGGCAGGTGATCATCCATGATGGTTTAAGCCCAACTATTTTGTCTTCAAAAAGTAGATAACAGATACAACTTTTCAAAATAGTGATTATTAACTTAATTTAAAAAATAAAAAATCAAAATAATTATCAAACAGAGCCAATCGAATCCGATTTTAAACCAAGAGTATCAACTGCTTAAGAATAAAGCAAGAGAGAAAGAAGGCCAAAGATTTAGAACATGGTAGGAGTGAAGTAATAGATACAAATATGAAGGTTATTATTTGGGTATTTTATACAAAGATGAGAGAGCCAGCCGAAAGTAGAAAGCATTGGCTGTGGGCAACTTGAATTGTCATGTCAGCAGATGAGATGATAATATAATAGGCCAAATGTTCCCACATGTACTGAGAGGGATGTTTAGGAATAAGAATGGTGTGTCTGTTTTTCTTCTTTTTACCAAATTGAATGCTTAATTCCAAGGCCATTGCATGTCAATATAAGCCCTTTGTAACGGCTGAGATATTCCTGCAAATAACATAATAATTTATAAACCATAAGAATGATAGAAGGCGTGGTTGATGGTAAAAAGCAGCAGCAGAGACAGAGAGAGAGAGGAGAGGATTTCTTACAACTACGGTGTAATCATATGTGTACAGCATGCCTTTGTTGTCGTATTCTCTCCTCTTGATGGGATCACTCAAAACTGTCCATCAACAATAATACAAAATGTTTTGTGAGATCTAGAGTTTATTAATTAGAAATAGTTGCTGTTTTTTTTCTTTCTTTTTCTTGGTGAAACAATCCATAAGAAGAGAGAGGTAAGGAAGATTGGGTAACCTCCAAAAGCCAAAACAGCCTGGACTAACAAATAAAATTCCAGTCAGCCGCAATGGAAAAAAAAAAGGAAGATAATTAGAAAAATCCCTAGATAAAGAAAGCCAAGTGGAGAGATCGATATTTATCTCAAAAAATTTCCTATTTCTCTCTTGAGACGGGAAAATTGCTGCCCACCACAAGGATTTGGATAATGAATGATTTCAACCTTCTACCTCTCTCTCTCACACACAGAAGACGCAGCCCAAGAGAGTAAAACAAGAGAATGTGCATGTACTTTTATCCACGCTATAACTCAACCACAGTTCTATACAGTGAAGATGCAGATGCAGGTCAGATGAAGTTGATCCAGTCCAGGAAACCCATGGTGAAGTGAAACACAGTCAAACAACACAGGCCGGTTGCTAAAGATATTAAAAAATTGGATTGTAACAGATGGCCTTGTTTAATTGGAAGGTTGAAGCGAATACAGGAACAGAATTCAATCAACCGTGGGGCAAAGTTGCTCTAAATTGTTTTCCCGAGCACTCCCTTAAATGTCTTTAGTCTGCTAAAATAGGTTTCTATCTGATCTAAGATTATCTTTCCACGCTCCAAATAATCAGGCTTGCACTTGGCATGTAGGCACAGTACAGTAAAAGCAGCCAAAGATAGCTTGAAAGAGAAAATTCTAGAATATTTAGATGGCAGACGGCTGCCACCTCCTCGTAACTCATTTCAAAAAGGTTAAATCTTTGCATGTAAAGCATTCTTAAACACACTAATAGATTCAAGAAAATGCATACAAGAAAGATCTTGACGGTGAGTTCAGATTAGTTTACAAACAAGAATGGCCTGCTGCTCCTGCGCCCACTACTTCAAGTTTCAACCTCACAAAACTACAGCGATTAAGTTAAATTTGACTGATAGTTATCTACAGAGTTTATTCTTGTAACAATAAAATACATTTTCTTTTATATACCTGGATGGAAGTCGAACCCTATCTCACTATGCTTAAGAGACTACAAAACAGTCCACTAATTTCCTAGAACTGGGTTGGGGGGAGGGGATGGGATTGGGGACTTTGCTGATCTTCCCAATAACGAAATAAGTGTATTCTACCCAATCAGGGGGATGATTGTAAACAATAAGACCGCAAGCCATGTATTCTATTCTATCTGGATTCACATTTTCCCTTTTGTGAAAGTAAAATAGCTAAAAACGATAAAATTTTGGACAAAGTGTGACACCAATATTCTATGTAGAAAACCTAGAAAAGAAAACTGATAAATCTTTCACTACGCAAAAGGGTTATTACAAGTGGACTTTCCTAGTTTCTAAGAATGCTACAAGATACACACATCGAGAGGATATATTACTATGTTAGATATCTCGGCATATAGATTAAGAAACAAACATTTAGTTGAAGGAACAACAATATAAAAAAATTCATCTCCAAAAGAGTTAAAAGAACACTCCAATTGGATATATTGGAAGAGGCGGAGAATTATAAACTTCTTGTATGGTATACAATAATGTCTTTATATAACATTGCTAAGAGATACCCATATCCAAATGATACACTCCTTTCTCTTAAATATCCTCTGTGTGTTGAGCAAAGCATAGACCTCACTTTCTTCTCCATCCCTCACATGGGATATTTTTTAGCAACCTCCTCTCCTGGTTACCCTTTGAAGTCATAGATATGCCCTAAATGGCTTGAAAGCTATTTCTTTTATTTATTTCTCTTAATGAAACTCAAAGGATTCAACCTTCTCTGTACCTTTCTCGTTTCTTTTATAGAGAGAAGAATAACAGGCACCCCCACTTCAAATGCTTTCATTTTCTCTCTTTGTTTTTCAACTGCTTCTATCTGGAAGCAAATTCCTTTTTAGCAGCTTCTAGCTATCTCTTAGTCTTAGCTAATTTGTTTTCCTAGTCCATTATATTTCACCCTTTTTTCTTTCTTTTTCTACTTCTTCTTCCTTTTGTTTGTGTGTGGGTACTAGGAAGCCATGCCAACCACATGGAGGCATTTTCTCCACCAAAAAAAAAAAAGGGAATCCATATTACCAGCTATCTCTCTGCTCGCACATAAGCTCTCACCGGCAGCTGCTTTAATTTCCAAATTCATACTCATTGTTCGTGTGAAAATGTTTCCACTTTAGTGTCTTTGGCACCATTCACAACTCTCCTCGCCTTAAGCCCTGATGTGACTTCTTTAATGATCTTAGCAGTAAAAAGTTATTTCTTAATTTAATTTTTCTTTAGATTAACAGCAACCACACTATGTTATATCATACTCGCTAAGAAAAAAGGAAGCGGAAGAGAATTTTACGGACTTTCTTCCCACTCTTACTGGTACTATAAGTCCCTCCAAAATTCACTAGTCTATTCTTGTTTCTTTCATTTCTACAAGTACTTGGGTATGTAATGCCTTCATTTTACCAATCTAAAACCGTAGAATGAAAAATCTGAAGTATATGGAGCCAATCTGATTGACATTAACCTTTTCTTCTCCAAGCCTCTTTATAAGTATTAAAGTAGATTAAACATGTTTTATTACTTGAAATTCTTTTGGTGTCACAAATAACAAGTGCACATGATCCCTGACAAAGACGCATGCCATTGAAATTGCAGGAAATCCAGTAGAATAATGCGAACAATAAAATGCATTAACTAAAAAACTGAAAAAACCGACCTTGATAAGCCTCGTTTATCTCCTGAAATCTGGAAGTTGCAACATCCTGATCTTTCTGCTTATCAGGATGCCATTTCTGCAGGGAACCAATTCCAAGTACCAGTTGAGATAATCACCCACAAACAAGAATACTGAAATGAGGACCAAATCAAAATTGATAACGGAAAATCGAGGGATGGAGATAAAGTGGAGAGGGCACGAAGTCACGAACCAGAGCCAGCCGTATGTAATTGCCTCGAATATCATCATCGGTCGCATCATAATCCACCTCCAACGTATTGTAATAGTCCTAAAACGAAACCAATTTCACCAACAAAAAAAAAACCCCCATCAATGTCAAAATGCCCAACACACAAAACCAACTCAAAACCCTACCTGGCTTCATACGGATAAGAAATGCACTTCGAAGAGAAAGAAAATGCACTCGTAAGCAATAATCACCTTAGGTTTAGTTGAGGAAGAGGAGAAATCGAAATTAATAAAGGATTCTCGGTCGGATTGCGGCTGATCGGAGCCCGGCAATCCAGTGTCCCAATCGTCCCTCATCGAACCGCAACGGCAACGGAGAGAGAGGTAGAGGAAGGTGGAAGCTTCAGAGAATCGTGGCTATACGCCGGACTGGAGTCGACAGATTAAAGGGATTGGGCGGTGGTCGGTGGTGTGCTGACTCCTCCTCTGGTTTGTCTGCAAGTTTGTGTGCTTATCGGAATGCCGCGTAATACAAAGTCATCGTGGATTTTAGCCTACGGCTACGATACGCAATCCTAAACAATTATGAACAAGGAAATTTAATTGCCCGGGTTTATTTCCTGATTTTTGTTTCCAACTTTTGTTTCTAATTTTTATTAATTTTGTAAATAGCATGAAATAAATATATTATTTCAAATTTAGTGGAAAAATAAAATTTTACCAAAACAACCTTACTCAAATTAAAGACAACTTTAAATGTAATTAAAAAAAAAAGACACGCTATCAGAAGTAAAATTTATGCTATATTCGAAAATAATGAAAATTTTTTATGTTTTTAAAAATACATATTAAATTTATGTTGTATATCTTTTTTCTTAATTTTATAAGTTTTTTGTAAAAAAATAAAAAGAATTAAATTTTGTTCAGATGTAGCTTTTCTCTACTTTGCATTTATTTGAATTCTACTTTATTTTGGATTATGCTGTTTCTTATAGAATGTTGAGTATTTTTTTTATCAACGGATTTAGTGATTTTTTTTTTACATAATTGTTTTTTTAAATTGTTTTCTTATTATTTTATTTAAATAGTGTAAATTTTGTAAACAACATTTTTATGTTTGGAGTATTTTCATAGTTTAGATTTGAAATTCAAGGATATCGTTACATTAAAATTATGATAAATATATTATTTTATATTATAAACTTCTTTCAAATTTTATTGTTATTAAAACATTATATATTATAAATTATATAATATTGATAATTCTACTAAATTTATACGTTGATAAATTAATTAACAATATTTGATATTGAACTAAATATTTAGTTGATAAATACTAGTTTAAAAACATTAACTCATTTTTTAAATTGAAATTAAATTAAATTGAAATTAAATTTTAAATTCTGCTTCGTACACATGTTTATGTTATGAGTTTTTTCATTTAATTTTTTATTTTCATATTTATATTTTCAAACAACTAACTAAATACACCCATAACTTTTTGTTATATTTTAAAATATTTGTTATTTTTCATTTACTATTTGTCTAAATGCTTTATTTATGTATTATAATGTGTGAGATGGATAATCCAAAGCTCGAGATAAAGTAATTGGTGTCTTGAGTTTGGATTTGGATTTACTTGATGATTCTTCAAAATACTAGACTTGATCAATCTTCTCTATCCACCAATAAAATATTGGTTTAAATATAATTTTATATCCACCCTTAGGTTTATGGTCTCTAACAATTGGATTTTTATTAAAATTCATGTGAATTAATACATAAATAGGATCAAATGAATTATTTTACAGAAATATCGAAATCAAAGTCAAACTCAAATATGCTCGATGTGAATTGTTTTTCAATATTCTTAAATTTAGTTTCAATTATTTTTGCGTGGGTCGAATTTCTACTATTTTTTTTAGTATTTATTAGTACTTCTACTATATTTAGTTGACCATATGACTTAATTAATTTTTGTTTATAAATAATGTAATTTTAGAAATAAATGAGATTATGGTGATTATGAAACCAATTAAAATTAAAATTAAAATATTGATGAAACAAGTTCATTAATATATAACCGATGCTATAAATTAATTTATTTAAAAATGATGGTGAACTTTATATTTGCAATTGGCCATTTAATTTAGGAAACTAATCAAACTAAGGTTACATTCATAAACCGAACCATATGCACGGTTATTGAGTACTCGAAAAAAAAAGCACGGTTATTGCAATAATTTTGGATTTTTAAGTCAAGGAAAATTTGAAAATCAAATTATCTAAATATAAAAAAGGAAAAAGAAAATAAGATATCTTCGGTTCGGTTCGGATTTTAATAAAAAGCCAGAAGAACCGACCATATATATAACATACGAACCATAGGCCCATTCCAACCCACCGAATTCAGCCCAATATCTCGGCCCAGTCCAGTCCCACTGATCCAGTTTATTTAAGAAAAAAAGTGAAACAGAAAAGTAACCGTTAGTTTCGTGTTTCCCACACAAACCCTAGCCGCTCTCCTCAGTCGCCTTCTCCCCCTCTCTCCCTCTTCCGTCCGATCGTCGTACCGATCCGATGCCCATCCCATCTATCTTCTTCCTCTCTTGATTCAGGTACACTTCTAAATCCTTATTCTGTACAATTTTCGAACGCTGTGGTCTGTGATTCTTTGTATGATTATTTTCTCGATGGAATCGAGCCGAGTAAACGAGATCCTCCCGCAAAGAAACTGAGACTAATGGCCTTTGGGAATTCAAACCCTAATCGCCTACCATATGATGATGTGCAGAAATTTTGTGAACCCATGAATCCGAACTCTCCGATCACTATCCTTTTGAGTTCGCTTCCTGTTCCGCCTCCTTTTTTCCTCGTCCAATTCTCTCGCTTCAACATTCTCTCCCATGCTATCCCTCAAAGCAATTCGGGTTATAATTCGTGTGGTAACCCTAATCTTCAACCACTTTAGTCAAAGAGATACAGTGTTACTTCTCTATGGCTTTTCGTTGGGACTATAGGTTTAGATGTAGATGCTAAATAATATCATTACTAATATTGTGCATACTTATTAATCTCATTTTATTATTTTTATTTTAGGCTTGCTGTCAATTCAACTAAGTTTTCAGATATCAATCTCGTGTCCTTTAGTATCAGGTAGTTGTCTCAACTTTGTATTGTCGCTTGGTTATTTGGAATGAAATTCACATGTGTGCTATAGTGCTTACATGTCTATTATATCTCTCTTTCAATGGAATTTGAATAGGTTTATCCTGTTTGGAAATGGTACGAGAAGTAGGATTTGTCTTTCCACGACTAGCTTCAAGGAGTGGCATGACAATACTAGTGTTGTGGTCGCCAGATTGGATATTGCTAGGACCTCCCTGATTTAACTGGTATTTTTGTCTCTGGTTGCAAGCATTTTTCCTCTTCTGTATATACATCCTTTTATTACTTTGTTTTCTGTCTTGTTCAGTTTAACATTTCTAATTAGTGCTTCTCATCAATCATCATTATTGTTTATTTCGATTTGTGTATCTTAATTCTCATTATTTTTTTTAAATAGTATTTTTTTTGTTGCCACCAAAATGTTAGTTTTCTTGAAATAATGCTAGTTGGCCATAAAATATTTGTTGCTACGATATTGCAATTGTCCTGAAACATTAGCACGATATGTCGGTGGTCCCTAAATATTAGTTGTCTCAAAATAAAGTTACCAATAATTGTCTCGATATGTCGATTGTCCCTCAATATTGGCTCTTTAAAAAAAAGAAATCAACGGTTGCTTGAAAATGGCAGTTGTCCCTAACTATTGACTACCTTGAAATAAGGAACCAAGGGTTCCCTCAATATGTCGATTGTCCCTTAATATTGGTAGCCTCGAAATAAATGAACCAATGGTTCCCTCTATACATCGGTTGTCCCATAATATTGGTATCCTGGAAATAAAGGATGGTTCCCTCGATATGTCGGTTGTCCCTTAATATTGGTAGCATCAAAATAAAGGAACCAATGGTTCTCTCTATACATTAGTTGTCCCTTAATATTGGTTGCCTCTAAGTAAAGGAACCAATGGTTCCCTCTACATGTTGGTTGTCCCTTAATATTATCGGTTGCCTCTAAATAATGGAACCAATGGTTTCCTCAATATGTCGGTTGTCGCTTAATGCTGGTACCTTAGAAATAAAGGAACCAATGGTTCCCTCTATACGTCAGTTGTCCCTTAATATTGGTTGCCTAATAAGGAAACCAATGGTATATATTGGTTGCCTGATAAGGAACCAATGGTGTTTCATATATACGTTGGTCATTCCCTTGATATTGGACCCCTTGAAATGAGGAAACATGGTTTCCTTTATACGTCGGTTGTCGCTTAATATTTGTTATGTCGAAATAAAGGAACTAGTATGTTGGTTGTCCCTTGATAATGCTTCCCTTGTTATGTCGGTTGTTCTTTAACAATGGTTGGCTTAATATGTCAGTTATCCCTTCATATTAGTTGCCTCGATATGTCAATTTTATCTTAAGATTTGTTGACTCAAAATAAAGGACCAATGGTTCTCTCAATATGTTGGTTGTCCCTTCATATTGGTTACCTTGAAATAAGGAAACCAATGGTGTTCCATATATATGTTGGTTGTTCCTTAATATTGGTTTCCTCGGTTTCCTCTATATGTCGGTTGTCCCTGTTATGTCGAAATAAAGGAACCGTTGGTTCCCTGAACATGTTGGTTGTTCCCTAATGATGGTTTCCTTGTTATGTTGATTGTTCTTTAATAATGGTTGACTTAATATGTCAGTTATCCCTTAATCTTAGTTTTCTCGATATGTCAATTGTCTGTTAAGATTTGTTGCCTCAAAATAAAGGACCAATGGTTGGCTTAACATGTTTGTTGTCCCTAAATATTAGTTGTCTTAAAATAAAGGAACCAATGATATTAAGGTAGCCCAAATATGTTGGTTGTTGGTTTTATTGGTTGCATCGGTATAAATAACGAATGATTGCCTTAATATTTCAGTTGTACCTTAATATTCGTTATGTCATAATAAAGGACCAATATTTGCCTTAATACATTGGTTGTCCTTAAATATTAGTTGCCTCGATATAAAAGAACCAATGGTTCCACTTCCCTCGATATGTAGGTTTTCCCTTAACATTGATTGCCTAAAAATACAAGGCCAATGGTTGCGTATTATGTTGGCTGCCCTTAAATAATGATTGTCTCGATATGTTTATTGCCTTGAAATTATGGTTGTTTCAAAATAATTGTTGTCTCAATGTGTCAATTTTCCCAGAATTGGTTTCTCCCGGAATTGGTTTATTTTAAATAGAAGACCAATTATTGTCTTGTTATGTTGGTTGTTTCGCATAACAAATGGTTACTTTGATATGTTGATTGTCCCTAAACATCCTTTGCTTTCAAAACAAAGGTAAGTAGTTGCCTTGCTTGGTCGGTTTGCCTGTAAATATTGATGGCCTTTTTATGTCAATTGCCTCAATATGTTGATTGTACTGAAATAATAGTTGCCTCCCTATGATGATTTTCTTGAAATATTTGTTTCTTTGATAAGACAGTTGTCTTACAATATTGGTGGCTTCAAAATAACAATTTCCCGTATATATTGACTTGGTAGTCCCTATATGATGGTTGTCATGATGTGTTGGTCGGCACAAAATGATGTAAAATATCGGTTGCCTTATGTCTGAAAGTATATGGTGGTTTCCTTAAATGATGATTATCCTGAAATAATTATTGGCTTATATGACGATTTTTTCGAAATATAGGAATAAGAGAAATATGCATCTTCCTAAATATTCATTACCTCAAAATAAAGGAACAAATACAATAGTTGCACTGATATGCTGGCTGTCCCTAAATGGTTGTCTTGAAGTATCGATTGCCTCAAATTGATAGTTGTCTTGGAATAATTGTTATCCTTGATGTGATGTTTTTTTGAAATATTGGTGTCTCGACAAGGGAGATAAAAGGTTGCCTCAAATAATAGGCCAACTGTAATGACAAATATTCTAAATAAAAATTGCCTTAAAATATTTGTTGCCTTCATACTGTGACAGTTTTCCTCGAAAGTTACCGTGAAGTCATTGCATCAATGTCACAATTTTTTTGAGAATTGGTTGCCTTTGAAACACCTATATCTTTCAAATATTTATTACCTCCATATGGTTATTGTTCTAAAATATTGAAATATTTGTTGCTCTGATATGATCACTATCTTAACATATTTGTTTCCTCAATATGTTGGTTGGCTTTGAATAATTTTTTGCTTCGCAATAATAGTTGCCTAAAAATATTAGTTTCCTTGGGTTGACGGCTGTCTCTAAATAGTGGCGGTCTTTGAATATTGGTCTCCATAGAAATAGTTGTTGTCATGATATGATGATTGTTCAAAAATATTGGTTGCTTGGTAAGTGTCAGTTGCCTTAAAATATGCATTGCCTCAATATGATTGTTGGTTTTGAGTAATGGTTTTCTCAAAAATATCTTATGCCTCAAAATATTTGTTTTCTTGATGGGATGGTTCCATAATATTGGTTGTGCTCAAGTTGCATTGATAGGAAAGTTATTCCAAAATATTGATGCAATATCTTGTTGCCTAGATATATATGACAGTTGCCCTGCCTCGAAATAATGGATACTTTGAAGTGTTTGTTGCCTATATTTGATGGTTATCTTGAAATGTTGGTTGTTTAGAAATAACGACCAATATACTCATTGCTTTGATATATTGGTTGTTTCCGTGTTGCCTCTATTTAATGGCTGTTTCAAGAAATTTGTTGCTTCAATGGAATTGTGGTAGAACTGTTGCTTTGAAATATTGCTTCTTGGATACAACGGTTAACATGTTTGGATTCTAGCACTGATAATGTTATCTGCCATTCTCCACCTTTCTTGTGGTAGGCTGGAGCAACGATTGCTCAATTCAAGTCACAAATGGTTGATCGTGAACCAAAATGGTGTTCTATTGGCTGAATAAGTACGGTATGATTCAAGTCTCTACTATTAGAGAAAGATCTGTACGACAACTTTAGCTTGAACTTTAAGCTTGTTGTATCTTTAGGTTGCTGCATCATTTACAGGTATGAACGGGTTCTGCAGAAATGTGATACTAGGAATGATGATAATTTGAGGAGACAGATTTGAAAGAGCCATATTCGATTGATTTTCTCTTCCAATTTTTACAAATCTTTTTGGAATCGTTTTTTGTCTGATATTGTAGAACTTGTTTTCGGCGCAATTAAGAATTTTATGTGAGTTTTTAAAAGCTTTGAAATCGCCCAAAATCTCAAGCTGTCTGGTGGCTCTGAAGTTGATAACGTGATAGCAATTGCCAAAACTCAGGTGTGTGGAAGAAAGAACAAATTCAAAGCTGTAGTTTTGTAGACGTTATTTTGTTGTGGTTTGTTTCTCTCTCTATCTATAGCTGATAAAAATGTGTTTTGTAGAGATGGAAGACAGGTTACGTTTAGCAAATACGTACAAAAGCTGAAAAGAAAAGTTGTAATCCTTCAATCTCTCTCGATCTTCTTCCTCTCTCGATTTCAGGTACTCAATCTCTATCTCTTTTCTTCAAGTTTAAGTCATCTGCTAGATTGTTGTATGATCATTTTCCAGATAAATAGAACCAAGCTGATAATTTCAGTTGAAAACCAGTTTTGATTAAAAAAAATGGACATTGGTTTGGTTCCCCAATCTCTTCCAATCCGGGAACATTGAGTATTCAGTTCTCGGTTAAGGAAAAAACTGAGAAAATTGAACCAACCCCTACCTAATAAACTGATTTACCAGCTGATGCCCAGTGACAATTTGGAAACAGAACATTTCAAATCTTCCTAATTTTAGGATAATCAGATAATGTGGGAAGGTTTTAGCACCCAAATTGTGGACTCCTCACAACAAGGTTATGTTTTAACCGTTTCATTTTTTATTCAAATTTGTATTTTTGCTGGACCTTTAGTTTCCGGAAAATTTGCCACCAATTGCGGCCTTGCATGCAAGGTGTAAGGAGCTTGCTTCAATACTACTATTTTTCAATTTCGGATACGCACGGTGGTAAGCATGTTTCACTAAAAAATATATAGTTTGTTTCAAAATATTTGTTGCGTCCTGAAGTTTAAAGTTGCCAGTCTTGAAATATTTGTTATATTGATATGATAGTTGTGTCGAAATAATAGTTGCCTTCAGATATTGGTTATCTCGAAATGACAGTTGTCTTGAAATATTTGCTGTCTTGGTGTGTTGGTTGTCTTGAAATTAAAGTTGTAAGTCCTGAAATAGTTGTTATATTGATACAACAGTTGTGTCGAAATATGGTTACCTCAAAAAAAATGGTTGCCTCTAAATGACAGTTGTCTTGAAATATTTGTTGCTTTGAAACATGGTTGCCTTGATATGTCAGGTTGCCTTGAAAAAATGGCTACTTGAAATATTTGTTGCATTGATACATTGGTTGTC